TATATAATTAAATATAGAAAATATAATAAATAAATAAATAAATATTAAAATATAAATAATTTTGAATGATAAATAATTTAATAATCAAAAAATACTATATTTATTTTATAATAGATTATACTCATTGCAAGATTTATATACTGCTAAATAAATAATATTTTTGCTAAAATATAATAAATAATGATATAAAAATAAAATAAAATAAAATAAAAAATTAAACATTATTTTATATTGAAAATTTAAAAGATTTTAGTTAATTTTTTTTTTATCTATTTTCTCTTGCATGATTGATGATGTATGAATAGAAATGGAAAATATTAAGAAAAAAATATATACTATACAGAGAGTACTTATATTTTCATAATTACAGTTATTACAGATCTATTCTATGAATGAAGATATAAATATCGGCAAAGTACTATTATAATTATTTAAAGAACATGAATTTTTAAGTAGAAAACCGCATTTCCAGCAAATAAATTTATTCCATAGATTACATTACAAAATATTACACCTCATTTTTCACGCTGGAACGCTGTTACGATAAACTATTCTTATCCATATATCAATTTCGATTAAAATAGAGGTGCCTCAGTACTTCGCGCATTTTTTTTTTTTTCTACAATGCATATAAATTTCTTTCTCCTACATTGCAAATAGGCGGAAAACTATTATCTCTTGCCGGAATTTCATTTCGCTTCACTAATTATATCTTTATAAATTCTTTGTTGTTTGTTCTCGATACGTAAAAACAGATACGAACACAATATGTAACAATGAGAAAAATATGATCTTATTATAAATATGATCGTAATAAAAATTATAGATGAATATCGCATTTCATGTGAATAAACATTTGAATTAAAAATGTTTAAAATTCAAATGCTATTCCTCATATGTAATATTACAAAATATTAATTTAGAAAGAGTAAGATCATTTTAGCTGTTTCAAAGTAAAGTCTACCTTACAGATGCAACAAAATAAACTTGTTTATAGAAACTTTTGATTTCTGTAACAGTCTTTTTTTTATTTCTTGTTAACTGTTACTCATATAGCATTATTATAAGGTATGTCAAATATTTATAACGTATGTATAGTGATACTTCGCATTGCTTTTGCAATTTGTATTACTTAACTTGTCAATTAGAACTGTTAGTTGTATGAAATAGCTGTAAAAAAAAAAAAGGAAAAAGACAATTTTATATTTTTTTTGTGATGCAGTTTAATTCATGTGGATTCACACTAGAAAATTACCTTGTAACTTTAAGCCTCAGGCGTAGCTAAGGGAGCTTCTTTCATTTCATTGATTGTAATAGCTTCTTTTTTATCACCAGCTGCTTTATCATTTTCATCCACTTCCTTTTTTGGAGCAACCTTAAATGTATTATATACATTCAACGAGATTACTAAAAACTCCAACAGAAAACAAGCTTATAATCTTTTTTAGCTAAAATGATCTTACAAATAGAATGGTACAAATGTGTTAATAAAAAAATCTATAGAAACATTATTAATGTAAGATTTGGTTGTATTTTCATATTTTTTAATTGTTACATGTTCTTAAAAAAAAAAACAAATTAAATTATTATGCTGCATATACATTATTTTTATGCTACGTATACATTATATTCATGTATCTACATATAAGTCAAAATATTATACAACTGCAATATGTTTTATGAATTGTTAATAATAATTAGAATAACACTTATACAACTTATATGCAATATCTTTAAAAAACTATAAGATATTAAAAATAAGTTTAATAAATGTTAATAACATAAACTAATTCCTATATTATGACTAAAGTTTACGATGAAATTATTAAAATATTTTTATAAACTTGTCCTAATATATATATATATATATA